TTTTTTTTTTTGTAGTGCTGTCCTGCAAGGTCCACAAATGTTTTAGGCAAACTTGATGATCCAGAAATATGATTTCTGAAGTATTTTGTATGCACGTCCTGCTGTCATATTTTCGAACCTTAAGATTGCAGCCCTGTTTAATAATTGTTTTTTTTTTCTCTTCTTTTTGGACAGTTCTGGAGAAAATGGTGCTTCTGGGAAACTTAAAAATTAAATAAATGAAGTTGTAATTTAAGTTATTTGTAAATAAAAGACAAGTAGTAGTTCTGGAAATTGTAAATTTTTACAAAGCAAGTTATAAATTGTAAATTACAGAAATTGTTCTATAAATTTTTTATTTTTTTGCCTCTGAGTTTGAATAACATAAATATCATCTAGGATAGTCTCCAGAGTGTTTGAGTGCATATTTCCACTGTCCAGCACTGGGACGTTCAGGTTTATCCTGCAGTACAGGGGTCTGGTCTGATTTAAGGAAATGAGGAAAGGACTAATTGTGTAGAGCTATGACAAAGTAATTGGTGGAAGAAATATGAGTTACTTTAGTAAAGTACTTTCATTAACTACTATTAGTGCATTGAGGAAAAAAATGCATGCATTTAAAACCTTAAGTAAAAGTATTGTCCTTCATACTGTAATGTACTTAAGGTATGAAGAGTAAACGTAAAAGTAACTTATGTATTCTGCAGAAAAAACTTTATATATGATGGTCTTGCATTAAAGGGGTCATATGATGTTGCTAAAAAGAACATTATTTTGTGTATTTGGTGTAATGAAATGTATATGTGGTTTAAGGTTAAAAAAAACAATTTTCCACATACTGCACATTATTGTTTCTCCTCTATGCCCTGCCTTTCTGAAACGCATCGATTTTTACAAAGCTCATCGTTCTGAAAAGTGAGGTGTGCTCTGATTGGCCAGCTATCCAGTGCGTTGTGATTGGCTGAATACCTCAAGCGTGTGACGGAAATGTTACGCCCCTTACCATATTGTGATTCCGTGTCCTGGAGCGACGAGACAAAAACATTAAAACCTATTATAAACGAAGCATTTGTTGCATCCATTTGGGACATAATTACGGATTATAATGACTTGTTTTTATAATACTGTTTTTTTACGCATTGCACCGCGTAAACATAAAACCATGTCTGCATTTGTGATCGGAGAAACGACAAACAAGAAGCGCTACTCTACACTACTCAAAACTCACGTTTGAATCAGTGGAAGTTCTTTAAATATGAAAACGTACTTACAGACTATGAGTAAGAACAGCTGGCATTGTAGTCTACTCTCCCAGGATCAGGAAACAGTCCTCCATAAAATCATAAAATGCCATCTGAATATTTGGTTTGAACTGTTCTGGAACAGTGTTGTAAATACAACTTAAAGGCAACAATATGTAAATATGTAATTTAGAGGGCGCATATTCAAAATAAACAGATGCAAAGGCGTAGTTTGATGACACCGTGACGGAGTGTCGAATCATGGGAGTTGTCGTCTTCATCCCCACAGCCAATGCAATTCGACAGGACTCGGGCAGAAATCATGTTCATGGATGAGCTAATGATTAATTAACGTAGTAGAATGAAGCAGGGTGAGGCTGAAAGCCGTAGAAGCAAAACGAGGCCGCTGAACGAGCGTGACACACGGCTCGAAAGCAGAGGAGCTTTTATTATGCCACAGTCGACCGCTTCCGCTCCTTTCAGTCATGCGTATGCGGGGGGGGAAAAGCAGCGCTGTTTTATCATACTAGATACATTTGAAAGTTCTGTTATAATGCTACTCTGTGCGGTCGTCACCGGTCTATTAAAATGCACAACATATTAAAGCGTCTTTGGCGTTTCCATATTTTCTACAAAACAAAACCGGAAATCGAGGGGTTATGACGTCATT